AACTAGTAAGCCACAATGTGGACAATATAATAACATATAGAATAATATATTTATGTTTCCACCATGGAGATTTCCTCAACTAATGTGGCATAATTATATCATTATGTTAGGGTCTAAAAAGCACATTGATAGATGACGGAGATGTGAATAACAAAGGAGAGGAATTAAGTGCTATATCTAGTGAGAAATGTCAAACTATGCACGGTTAATTTTAAAATAAGGGATATTATTTTTGGTATCAATCCACCTTTATGCTTTCAAAAGTTTGAGTCATTATTTATAGTTAATCACAATATATTCGAAAGCTATTAATTTATATAGATGGTTTATGGTTATATAACGAATTACAAATCACAGTTGAAGTAATAAATTACTTACTATATTTGGACATACACTATATAGATGGTAAATAACCAATTACAAATTAATCATTCTTTTGGTGTAAAACGAACTGATCACAAGACACAAACTATTATAGTCACTTATACGTGAATGGGAATTATGCACAAAAAGTCGTTTGCTTTGATTTCAATTAACTCAAGTGGGACTATGGGTGCAACAAAAGCAGATACTGATAAATATATCAAACTCAATATGTCGGGGAAAATAAAATGGTCGTGATTTATCAAACTAATTCTAGCAGGAAAAAAGCTTTAACGCAACTGTTTTTCATGCGAATTCTTATAAAAGGAAAAATAAATTCACATAACATATTTATTTCGTCATATGTTACATTATCATCATATATAATGAATTTAATATTATCATAAATAGTGATCAGTCTAAATACATGTAACATATGTGATCACAATGAACATTTTCACCAATGATTCTATGACGGTAGCTTTTTCTGCAACACACGGATTCACAATAGACGTACGGTTCTACTTATACCACAATAACGATGGACAACCTCTGGTATGTTTTGCATCAATAATCATGCAAGAAAAATGTGAATCTCATTTGATGTAGAAGTTTTAAAACTTTTGACCATTGGGTATCGGCCAAGGAAATTTCACATTCATATATAGCAAAACAGAAAATAATTTAAATCTTTTATATATATGAAAAGCCTTTCACTTTTATTTGACATACTTTGTTTTCAATTTCTTTCGAAAAATGGATTAAAGTTAATACACATTTATATTTCACCGAAGGAATTTAGCCAAATAGAATAATTGTTCCATATCTGTGTATCTAAATCTTCTTTTTAAGAGTTTGGTAATGTAAACTTTTTTTTTTGAATAAAATGTTGAATTATATTCAAAAGAAAAAATAACGTTTTACATCAGTTGTTTTTGAATATTCTGAAATTTGAATCAAAGAGAAAACTAGTAAACAGATATTTGGTTTCTAAGCAGAGATTTTCTAATGCCGGGAAGCGAACCAGGCTTGTAAGCCATTCTTGTATCGGCGGTAATGTAACCTTTTATTAATTGCAATTCAATGATGCTCTTCTTAATATAATAGGGAATATATGTTTGTTTTTTTAATGTAGATTTCTGTTTTAGTTGTCGCTCGTCCACCCTTTCACTTGGACCTTCTTACCATCTACCGGCAGCGAAAATGGTTTTCAAGAGAGTTGTGTGAATATAGAAAGAGTGGAGCTTGTGAACTATGGAAAGGAGCACGGAAAAATCGTCGTAGTCGTCGACCTCTTTGATCAGAACAAGGCTTTAGTGGACGTACCTTGAAGTGGCCAGTTGGTTTCCTATTAATATGCCTTTTATTTTTAGTTGAAGTTGTTGAGATGTTGTGTTACTGTCGGTAAATTCTAATGTTTAAGTGATGACAATAACACGTCCTATTTCGTTAAAAAAAAAAATTGGGGTTTTGTTCAAATCATCTAAACCATGTAACGATTTAATTTGAAGATTAAAAAACATATGTTGCCAGAAAAATAGAAAGGAATATTTTCGTCCCATCATCTTCAAGAATAATTTTGGATTCTAAAGTAAGTAATTAATCCATTGCACACTTTTTTATCAACATTAAATCTCTACCCGTTTAACTTATTGTGAAATACGATCTCCATGCACCATAAACTACGTAGCACTGCGACACATTCATTTGTAAGTTGTAACATTTAAATTTTTATTAACTTAGAAATCATATACAAAAGACGGATCTCACATTAAAAAAAAATTGACGGTATTATCACATATATAATCAATATGAATCGGTGTTAAAAAAAAATCAATATGAATCAATAGAAAACATAACTTATTGTGATGTATTATTTAGTAATTATGCATCTCATCGTATAAACCAGTTACAAAAATATCAAATGGAAGGATATTTATCAGCAAGCATAATTATTAGAAAACATAATAAATGAATAGTAAATGTACGATGAGTAGGGAAGCAAAAGAAGAGCGACGGCTTGCTGTTGGAGACAAAGTTCATACCACAAAACTAAACGATGTATTATAGAGCCATAGAGGAATAGGTTAGGCCTATGTCCATGCATGTGTTACGTGTAGATTGAAAGGGAATTGAGATCAACGGTGGAGATGAAAGTAAGAGGAAATAGTCACGTGCGAAAAAAGCAAAATAAGAGAAGAAGAAGATACAAGCGTCGAAAGGAGAGAGGATATGTTTCCTTTGTAATAGGAACATCACAACACTGGCTCTATTGGTACTTCTAGTGCACTACTTAGTTTTTTCTTTCACTACTTAGACCATCTGCATTGGGGGATCACCCCCCCTGATCTAAGCATTATTTAAATCCAGAAAAATGGGTTAATGGGCTTAAGATCAGGAACTGGGCTCTTGACCTGGATCTGTTCTTGTGGGTGTTGCGGGGTGACGTGGCATTTGGGCATTGGTTGGAATATTCAACATATTTGGAATAAATTTGGATAATAAACTATGTATTAATTAGATAAAATGTTTTTGTGCTTTTATTAAGTAATATGTTTGTTTGTTTATTGTTATTTATATTTTTAATGTTTTTTTCATAAATATTTAGTATTGTATTTTCACTTTTATTTTCAGTTTTTTCATAAATTTGGCATTTGCAATTTATATGTTATTTTTAAATGTTTTAATAATTGTAAAATCTTAATTTAATTTAGATTATTATATTATTAAGTCTTAAGATCTTACACATGTTCTCCCACTAATCAACTTCTAAACAAAAGATCTAAACACATGATCTTACATTATTTTAACATTATATTCTCTATAAGAACACCCTCACATGATCCCCCATTGATGATGCCCTTAGTTCCCCCACGATTTACACAATTTTCTTCTGCTCGTATTTACGATTTTGATAATTATTTACACATCTTTAGAAAGACCTACACATGCATGCACTAGATATATATGTATAACGCATGCATGATTCATGTGTGCATGAATTGACGGTAGGAAATATTAATGCATACATTACATTACATCTGCAAAAATCATATCTTGTGGCCAGATATCGACTAATTGGAACGGCTTGCAAAATCTATGAAAATCTGATTTTCCTACTTAGTAGATGAATTGTCATGCTTTGTTAGTAACCTATTTTTGTATAGTGTATTTATATATATAGTCCTTCAATTTTTATAATCATTTTATTTTGCCCCATTTATTTTAATGGTTTACTTATACTAAATGCACCAAATAACTTCAATAATAATTTAAATATATTCAAAATTAAAGAAAAAATCACTACTCAAATGCTAAAATTCATCAATAATTATTAATAAATAAGATCCTAGTAAAAAGACATCCATATTGTATTTCAATAGTTTATACTTTTAAAATTTATGTAATCAAACTTCTCATATATATTTTATTAAAACCACACATGGGCTATCTAATTCACACACACATATTGTTTTCGATTGTCATGATGATCATATTTCCACGTAAGCAGAGACAAGATGTAAAATGTCACTAGTTATAATTAAGGAGTGGAGTGGGAATAAGAAGGAAAAGGGGAAAAAAAGAAAGGAAAGGTATACATAATTTTCAAGTCGATTTTGGGTTGATAATTACAGTGAGAGGGAGACAAGACATTGCGCTATACCTAATTCTAACTAGTTTCATTTCTAGACTGATGGACCAATCATATCACTTTCTACTAATATCATTAGTTTGAGCTTTATAAGTATCTTTATCACAATTTATTTTAGAAATAAATTATGTATCAAAGGTTGTTGTTAGTTCAATGCATAATTTTTTAACCACACAAAGTTTCAAAAATATTCATAATAGTTTTTACTCCTTTATAACGATGCATGTACATAACATTTTTTTCACGGACGAAATAAAAGAGTGTTTCCTTCGAATAAATGCAAATTCGATACGTAATCAAGTGATGATAATCTATTGGTTTATCGTTTTTCCAGGCAAAATATTGTTTCACGGTAAATGCATGTAGATAACAATTGTATGTCCCTATATGATTTTCTGATAATCAAAGAAAATATACACTCAATTTCTTAACAAAATTACTTCTAGAAGATTTGATGATTAAATAAAGAGATAATCATAAATGGAACTTTGTACTAATTTGATCAGAATCTTGAGAAGAAATTTGATTTGAGTTTTGTTCTTTTTTTGTTTGTTTTAAATTTCCACATGCCTATACTTTCGTTTGTTTATGTGACGCTTTTGTACAACAAAATCAGATTTGGATTCGTACTTTTTTTAGGTCAATAAATTCTTTTGTTTAATTCTGACCAAAAATAAAGAAATACTTTGTTTAATAAAAATGTAGGATAGAGAGTCGTACTTTGATATAAAAAAATCTCGAACTTTGATATAAAATCTCTCATCTCAGTTAACTCCTTTATGCTCTATTCAAATTTAATCCTGTATTTTTCTCAATCTACAGTTAATTTGTATTTATACTTGTATATATTAGAGTCCACACAAAGAAAATGGATAACAAATAATGACATCAATATTTTGGGATCCCCACCATGCCAAACTCAAACTCCATGTTACAAAACAAAACAAAAAAAAATCTTTATAAAATGGCATCTTCTCTTCATATTTTTTTAAATCTCTCATCTCAATAAACAAACACTAACAATGGTGGTCGAAGAAGATTCACGTCTCATAAATCTCCAACACAAGTACAACCCGACAATGCCCGAGGTACTAAATTAAATCTAAAATTTCTATTATTAGTATACTTCTCTCTCAACTAGAGTCTTTCAAATATCTCCTCTCTTATTATTTAATTTTTTTATTTAACATTTTTAAAAGGTGGTGGAGGAGATGAAGAGAATTTGGGACATAAGTTTCCCGGTGGCCGCCATGAGCATATTAAACTATCTAAAGAACATGACCTCTGTCGTGTGTATGGGCCGCCTCGGTAGCCTCGAGCTCGCAGGAGGAGCCTTAGCCGTCGGTTTTACCAACATAACCGGTTACTCCGTCCTCTCCGGTTTAGCCACCGGTATGGAATCACTATGTGGTCAAGCCATCGGTTCCAAAAACCCTTCACTAGCTTCTTTAACCCTCAAGCGAACCATATTTCTCCTTCTCTTAGCTTCTCTTCCCATCTCACTTCTCTGGCTAAACCTCACGCCTCTAATGCTAATGCTCCGCCAACAACAAGACATCACACGTGTCGCATCTCTCTATTGCTCCTTCTCTTTGCCTGATCTTCTTGCTAATAGCTTCCTTCACCCTTTACGTATTTACTTACGTTGTAAAGGCACCACTTGGCCTTTGATGTGGTGCACGTTAGTATCCGTCCTTCTTCATCTACCCATTACCGCTTTCTTCACGTTTTACATCTCTCTTGGGGTCGCCGGAGTCGCCATCTCCTCTTTTCTTACCAACTTTATCTCCTTGTCGCTTCTCCTTTGCTACATCTACTTGGAAAACAACAACAACGACAAAACCAGTTCTAAGTCTCTTTGTCTTGATACACCGTTGATGCTGTCTGGTTCCAGAGACTCCGGTGAAGATGAAGTGTGGTCAACGCTGGTTAAGTTCGCCGTCCCTAGCTGTATAGCGGTTTGCTTGGAGTGGTGGTGGTATGAGTTCATGACGGTCCTCGCCGGATATCTCCCTGAGCCGAAGGTGGCGCTAGCAGCTGCCGCCATCGTGATACAAACAACCTCATTGATGTATACAATCCCAACGGCCCTCTCGGCCGCGGTTTCCACGAGGGTAAGCAACGAGTTAGGAGCAGGACGGCCGGAGAAAGCACGTACAGCGGCGGCAGTAGCGGTCGGAGCCGCCGTGGCCGTGTCAGTGTTTGGACTTGTGGGGACTACCGTGGGAAGAGAAGCTTGGGGAAAGGTTTTCACGGCGGACGGAGTTGTCCTCGAGCTGACGGCGGCCGTTCTTCCGGTGATAGGAGCTTGTGAGCTTGCCAACTGTCCTCAGACCATTAGTTGTGGAATCTTACGTGGCAGTGCGAGGCCAGGTATAGGGGCCAAGATTAATTTCTACGCCTTCTATGTAGTTGGAGCACCAGTGGCTGTTGTTTTAGCGTTTGTGTGGGGTTTAGGCTTCATGGGCCTATGCTATGGTTTGCTTGGGGCACAGCTAGCTTGTGGAATCTCCATTTTGACCGTTGTCTATAACACAGATTGGAACAAAGAGTCCTTGAAGGCTCATGACTTGGTGGGCAAAAACGTCATTTCTCATGTCGATCAAATTATTGTCAAATGCGAAGAAGGTCTACACTAACAGTTTTTTTTTTCTTTTCTTTTTGTTCTATATACCATCTCCATTTATGTCTCAATGATTTCCTTTTGTTTTTAAAACGTATACAAATATGTAAGTGTCTTCCTTGGACAAGGACACAATGTAAAACTTTATGAAACACAAAAATATTGAAGATTTTGCATTATTGAAGGGAGTGGGTTCATGGATTGGATGATGGAGACTTAGACCATCCTTATTGGGAGGTCCTTAGCTTAGTTCTTAGCTCATGAGTGATTAAAATTAAAGGTTGAAATGTTGATTTTGCTAAAGAATGGTTCTTAGTTAAGAGCAAAAAATTGGCTTAAGAGCAAAAAATTGGCTTAAGAACCAAAACTAAGGCCTCCCCAATAATGTTGCTCTTATATGATGCGATGGCTAGTGACCATGACGTGAAATATATATTGGGTGCATGAGTGTATATAGAGATACCGAACCACATGGAAAAACAAGAGCTAATTGGCCGGAACACATGTGCAAGCATGTGCATGTGTACCCATACCAAAATAGGCATCATATTAGTGTCCTTGTAGCTTCTCGCTTCTTTTCTCCCACCTTAATTATCTTTCACAACAACTATAGCTTTAAGCTCATACTTTCATAAACCTTTAAATGGAAATATATTATTCTCATTTTCATTCAGTTCAATCCAAAGTAGTTTTACATTTTGGTAATGCGAATAAGCAACTAGTATGCTAATGTGGTTAAAAATAGATTAAGATATTATAAATTTGTATATGTCATTGAGATTTAAAAAATGTGTGATAGAAATAATCATTAGCAGAGAAAACTAATTTCAACCAAGTATTTTATTAAATAAATTGACATCAATGATTTTCAATAGCATTATTCATTATATATGATAATGAATAAATAAGTTGCCTAATTTCATACCTGAAGCCGTTTCTTGTATTTGAATATAACTACGTACACATGGTCTTCTTCTTTTTTTTGTTAAAACTACGTACATATGGTTGTAATAGATTTTTTTCATGAATTTCTCAAAGAAGTCATGAATATATATATATATATATATATATATATAACGTAGTTCAAGATTAGTACTGAATACAGCATTAAGAAAATTTGTATGTGAAATTTATTTTGTTTCGGTTAAGATTAATTAATTAATAAGAAATGGTAAGTCTAAATATATTAGCCAATAAAATATTTGGTTGTAGTGAAAGTAAGCCCGAAGGAGATGGGTGGGGAGGGGATAAGGAGAGAGACACATTATGTTTTGTTTCCTTTGTTGTTAACAAATACTAAGACCTTTGAGGTTTGACGTTTTTTACCTCAAAAAACTTCATTACCTCCTCAAAAAACATCATTACCTTCTGTTCGTACCATAACGTGCCCTGCTTAACACGTTTTCCTTCATCTTTTTCACTGTTTTCTTTTGTTTACATCAACACTTTGGCTCGACCAATTTTATCTATAATAGTTACTATTAAAAGGAATTTGTTAAAGTTACTACTACCGATCTCTGGTCAATTCACGGCCGGGCCGGGTTTGCAAAAACGAAGTAAAGGCTTAAGCGTAAACTTGACACCACAATTATGAGTTTGTTATTGTTGTACAAAATAAAATCAATGGTGAAGCACTAATAAAACAACTTTACGTGTGAGCATTTGAGTGGATAGAGTTTGAAATGAAGATATAACCAGAACCTATAATAAAAAAAAAAAAAAAAAGAAGCTATACACGTTGATCTTTGTCCTCATGAACTCAAAGACGATTGGAATGGAACATTCTATTTTGCTATGGAACTTAAGATGCACGCTAACAAAATTGAGCAAGACAAGGCAGATGACATGCACTTGAGATGACTTTAACCATTCAAAAAAACGAAAAAACGAGAACACAGGGACTTGAAACATCCACAAGGCATAAGAGAAGAAGAGGAAAAGGGGAAGAAGAAAAAACTCAACTATATATTTTGAAGTTCCAATGTTCCATACAGGTCCGGCCCACCCATAAAGCAGCCAAAGCATTTGCTTTAGGCCACAAAATATAAGAAAGTTTTTAGGGCCACATTATTAAGATATGTGCTTAGTCTGGTGGTTATGTATTCTCTAAATTAGAGTTATGTCCCGAGTTCGAGTCGTCAAGACAAGACCAGAGAAAAATATCAGTAGAGAAAATCAAATAAAAAGTCAAGTAAAGTTTCTGAACATTTCCTAAAGCAAGAAAGCCAATAGTCTGAACACAAAATCAGTGAATACCCTGAATCATAAGTGACTCAACATATAGTATGATGGTTGTTTAATGTCGCCGGTTTAATACACCCTCCCAAGTCCCAATCAATCATGTCCCTATACGCACAAGCACAGGGCAAGCAGAAAGAAGCTTTTCAAATGCACTATCATCTCTAAACGAAGCAATATTGAGAGTCTTAAGCGCAGAAAGAAAAGCATCCTCAGGGAAAAGATCAATTGTAAAGCGAGTCCCCGCCCAGGTCCAACTTAACCACCGTCTTGCAAGTGAAGACCTCAAAAGGAAGTGAATACACTTCTTGTTTAGCTTTTATATCAAGTTTAAGCTCCAAGACACCGCGCTTACGACTGTTTACTTGAGCATACTGAGTTGGATTAACTACCTTTTTACATTTTAGAGACAATGTCCTTACGCGGGAACAGAGAGCCCTTTGATTCTCAAGTAATCATCCAACTCAACATTTTGTATGATGGTAAACAGATTCTGCCACTTCTTTGAAAGAACCAATGCGAAAGCAGCTTCCTTTGCCGAAATGAAAGATACGATGTGACAAATGATCCATTCCTTTGCTGACATAACAAACGAATACGAGAAACTAAACAAGTCACTCAAAATCAGATTGAACCAAAAGAGATGATTTTAACTTGGGCACATACCTTGAAATAGAGATGAAATCGTCGGAGAAGTTTTGTAGACGATCACACGACAACACCTAAATTAGGGTTTTGGAAATAAACTCACTGACTTGGTGAAATAAATACGAAAATTTATGGTTTTGGAAAATAAAACTGTTCGGTTTTACTTTATAAGCGGTTTGATTGAACCGGTTTTGAAATAAACCAAACCGAACCTTTGATTCGCAAGGCTTTGACGTTTGATAGCCGCTGTCCGCTGATGTGCACTACGGTGTCGTTTTTCTTATAATCTATATATAATAGCAATCTAATAAATACCATTTGCACATCTGAACGGTTGCGTCTTTTTATCGCAACTTTTCGTTAATGTTTTTATTAATTAAAATATATATTTTACGGTTATGTTTTTTTTATATAAATTGCATTCTGAATGTTTTCTACGGTTGCGTTTTTTATTGTAACTCTTCATAAACAGTTGAAACCGCTTATTCGAATCATTGCAATATTTAGTTTATTTTACGAACAATTGCAACCTTTAGTTTATATATTTAGTTTATTTCACGAACAATTGCAATTTTTGGTTTATTTTATAAATAGCTATAACATTTAATTATTTACCGCTGCGTCTCTCGGTGTAACTTTTCATAAATTATTATTTTAATTATTAATTTTTAATTACTAAAATATATTTAAATGAGATTGTAACTATTTAATTGAACTGTTTCAACATTTGGATTATTTGACGAGTTATTGCAACTTTTGGTTTTGTGTTACGAACCATTGTTATCTTTAGTATATTTGATGAACTATTGCAACATTTGGTATAATTGACGAACCGTTGCAGTTTTTGGAATATTTGATATCTACGGTTGCGTTTCTCGGATAAGTTCGTCATATTTTTAAAAAATATTTAAATACTAAAATATATTTAAATGAATTGTTGTTACCGTTTAATTTAACACAATAGCATTTGGTTTATTTGACGTTGAACGTTTTGGCTTATTTATCAAACCATTGTAATATTTGGTTTATTAGTTTATGCTTTTTGCACTTGGGAATAGTTTTTTAGTTACAAATTATTGTTTTTCTAATATTAATATACTCCCTCCGTATTTTAATAATTGTCGTTTTAGAAATTTTATTTTTTTGAATTGGATGTCGTTTTCAAATTTCAATGCAAAATTTCTTACTTTTTAATGTTTTATGACATCATAAAACATTAAAAAGTAAGAAATTTTGCATTGAAATTTGAAAACGACATCTAATTCAAAAAATAAAAATTCTAAAACGACAATTATTAAAATACGGAGGGAGTATTTAATAAATGCTTGTGAGGGTTTTCTTTATCATAATTTTTGTAAAATATATATTGATTTGTTATTAAAAAATTCAAAATTATTACAATTCATTATGATTTTTTCGTTTGATATTTTTTTAAATGATTTTTGAAATATATTCCCCCGCGACATCGCGGGGGTCCTGAGTCCTAGTAAAAGTAATAATAAAATTAAAAATCGGTTTCGAGTGGTTTCCTAATTTCCTCCACGACCGCCTCAAACCGCAATAATGAAATCGAACGGTTAATATTGTACCAATGACACGTGTTCTATTTTCTATCCATCGATCAAATGATTCAGAAGATTTTCAAAGAGAGAAACAAAATAATTCAAAATGCCAAATATCACAGCAGTTGGCGCTTTCTTCCTCAAAAAAAAAAACTTCAATCGACACAGTTTCTCTCTATCAATGGCGATCAAATTCGCATCACTGTTAACTCTCTTCTTCTTCATTGCAATCTCAATTTCACAATCCACAGGTTCGTTTATGTTACTTCTTTCTCTTCACTATCATTTTACTCGACGGGATTTGATTTTGAGTGTTTCTCTTATCGTAGATGAATCTGGGCTCCAGAAATTTACTTTCAGTTGGCCGAATGATAAGAACAAGTTCAAATCTGGTGAAATTGCTGAAATTTTGATCAAAGTTCTCGGAAATTTCGATAGCCATGGAAACGCTTCGTTAGGTCAGAGAGCTTTTAAGCCTACAGTTACTGTCAACGGGAAAATTGGGAACAGTTCGTACATTTCTGGGGTTTCGTTGGACCTTGGTGAAGATATTAGCAATTGGAAGATCTATTTTACTCCAATCATGGTTGGGATCTTCAATATCGTTATAGATGAAGAGAATTTCAAAGTTCTCGATTCGTCGCTCCATTTCGAAGTCGAACCAGGTTTGGTTTCTTAAATTTTGGTGTTCCTTAAGTTGTTTTGGTATCAGAAGATTACTAAAAATGAGTTTTTACTTGTTGTGAAGGGTTAATGTACCCATCTGTTAGTGTTGTTTCTTGGATGGGTCTTGCAAATGTGTTTGAAGCCGGGATGAATGCATCGATTTTGATTCTTCCGAAGGATGCATTCGGGAATAACATTTCGTTTTCCGGGAAAGAGATGGAGTTTCAGGGGTTTTCTTTGTCTCTTCTTAATGAAAATGGTTCAATTGCTGCTGGTGTTCTTAATATCACACACATTAGATGGATTGAATCTGGTTATATTTCCATTGAGTTTGTTCTTGTGACTTCTGGAAAATTCTTACTGCTTGTGGAGAAGGAGAGTCAAACTCTGAATGGTGTTCCATTACCTCTAGAGGTGAATTCAGGTGGTTTGGTTCTATAAACATTTTTTTTTCAGTTTCAGAACGTTTATCATGTGGATTTTAAGCTGAGAAATTTTGTCCATGTTTGTTGGTATTGTGCAGGACCTTTGGATGTTTCCAATTGTGTGAGTATATGGAAGTCAGAGTTAAACACATGGCAAATATTTTCCAAAATGGAGATCTTGTTACACCAGAAAGATCGATACGGAAACCTTGTCTCTGGATTCTACGAATTCGATGCTGATGTGGTGGAAATAGAGACGGGTTTGTCCATACCGGTAGCAGATTTCCAGTTTGAGTATGTAGAGCCAGGGATTCAGTTTATGTCTTTCAGCCTATCTGAACCAGGAAATTTTTTGCTTACTCTCTCTGATATGAAGCACAATAAGAGCATCTCTGGTATGCCATATGTGTATACAGTTTATATAGGTCAGTGTTTTCCGAAACTCTCCATGTTATGATGCTTCTTGGTGAATGTACTCCGCAACACTCTTCTCTTTCTTTTTCTTGACAGGTTATTGTGATGGGTCAAGAAGTATAGTAAATGGTTCAGGGATAAATGCTTCTATTGCTGGGGAAGCTCTTGGTTTCTCTATTTACTTGAAAGATGCTTATGGTTATCCCTCCTCAGTCCAACTGGATAGACTTCAGGTCCGAATCGTACTAGAGACTGATTCCTCATTTATTTTGCCAACTATACAACCAAGAGAGGCTCTCAATGGTACAAACACATTTTCCTGATTTTCTTACTTTCAATATTGGTTGATGTCTTCACTTGTGGCTTGTACAATGATTTACTAGGCACTGGATCAAGTCACCAAACTGCTACTCCATTGTACGAGAAACATGGCGGAATAGTAAGAAGATTATCTGCATATGTGCTTATCATACTCGATTAGGCCTAGAGACTTAATGGAGTTTCCTTCTTGCAGGCTTCAGGCAGCCTACCAACTCAAGCGAGTATTTTTGACGTAACTTATACTCCAAAAAGGAGTGGGATCTATAGAATTCTTATATCATCAGGAAACATAGTTCTCAATGGAGGCCAGCCTTTCATCAAGGAAGTATATGCAGGTATCAAACTCAATACCGTAATTTAGATACTTCCATATGTTGATAGTGTCTTTTAATTGGGAAATGTATGTTCTCCTTGTTTACTCTTTCTTCTTTTAGGTGAAGTGAATGTGGCAGCGTGTAGTGTGACCCAATTCAATGCAAAAGTGCCAAAGGAAATCAAGAATGACGTTGTGGTGTTGCTCTTGGATGGCTTCTACAATCCTGTACCATCACAGTCATCTCGGTTAAAGTTGGAGATCACCTCAGCTAATACATCAAGTTTCACTACATGGGAATTTGTAGATAATAATGATGGGACATATACTGGTAGCTATTTGGCCATGGAGGTCGGTACTTACCGAATGTGCATATCTTTTGACAATAAACATATCCAACCTTGCCCCTTTGATGTTAATGTGTATAGCAGTAAGTCCCTTACTTTTCTTCTTTCACCATATATGATTATTAGTTTGCATGTTTTTAGATTCTGCCATGATTTAGATGGATACTTTCCAAGAGCCTATGATGATCCAGTCAATGTATGGGAAGATGAGTCAATATCTTTCAATCCACTGGAAAACGACTATTTTGCTGGCGACAATGCGAGCATGCTCGGATTCTCTCAAGTGAGGAATGAATGTTGCATTTCTTCTATGTTTTGCAGATAGTTAAATCATTTTAAAGGTTAGAAAAATCTGTCTTTAAACTGTTATTTTCGATTGGCTTTGGAATGTTAGCCAGGTCATGGTTCTCTTCTGAGAGATGGCAACGTCCTTAGATACACACCAATCAAGGATTTTTCAGGAAATGACTCCTTTCTTTATACAATAGCTGATATCAACGGAAACTTAGCCGCAGCTACAGTATACATCTTTGTTCTTACTGCTCCTCCTCAGTTTGTCTCGTTTTCCGGCGGTTTGCAAGCAACTGAAGATCTAGTCAGTCCTAGATATGGGCAAGCATTCTTCATTTTTCTTGCTTACATAAGTTTTATCTTAATAATATTCCACTTCAGCTATAGTAATCCTGTTCTTGAATGTTATTACAGTGGCTTCTCTGGGCTGGAGATAAGCTACTCAGACCTGCTGGAGAACATTTCAGTAACGGTACAAGCACTTTCGGGATCGGTCATTTTGTCTCCCATGTTGATGCAGTTTAGACCTCCTGCAAGTGGAAGACTCTCTGTTAGCAATGGAGGTGAGGATGGAAAAGTCTTAATCTTAGAGGGACAAATAGGAGTTATCAATCCCGCACTTCAGTCGATTCAATATCTCGGGTATGTATGAAACCACGGATACTCTGTGGCATCATAAGCGAGTTTCAGATTTTGCTCATTTCAACTTTGTTTTCTTTGGTTCTGCCTGCCTCAGAAATGAGAATTTTGCTGGTGTTGATTCTCTTCGGCTGTCTACAAAGAACAAGAATGGGATCAATCATCTGGATGTTCCGGTTTTCGTTGAACCTGTAAATGATCCACCATTTATTAGTGTTCCTCAATATATAATGCTGGAGAGTAATGGGAGTGAGTCACTTATCTTTCACCCGGAAAGAGACAAGTTCAACTTCTCAGTTGGAGATCCAGATCTTGTTCATTTTCCCGGTAATGTTCACTCTTGATCACTTTCAAGCTAGTAACATTCCTTTTTTTGACTGATGAAAGCAAAATGTCAGGTGGTGTATCTCATTTCTTAGTAACGTTTTCCGTTGAAGTCACTGACGGGCTTCTGCTGACAAACTTACCGTCAGAGCTTATAAACTCAACAGAGCTTAAGTTCAAAAACATGTTCCAATGGCAGCCAATTCAGACTTACGCCGCCATTTCTAAACACGTGAATGTCAAAGCTAGTGGGATTAGGTTTCGTGGAACCATAAAGCAATGCAACGACCTTATGCAACAGCTGCTCCATCGCGTAAATTCCATTGTCGATCTTTCAGTTAGATGTTTTTGGTTCCTAATATGTACATTATCATCACAAATCTTGCGTAGGGAGGAGAGAACGGAGCGGTCTTGACCCTGAAACTAAGTGACATGGGGAACTACGGGTGCTTCCTCGACTGCACCGAGAGAATTTCATTGCCTCTTCACGCAGAAGCTCGAGTAAAACTCATTAGGAAGAGGCCCTTGAGTTCCCTTGGAGCCCACGGTACGTTTATGAAACACTTGGTAGTGATCCCATTCAGTTTGGTTTACTCTGTTTCTAAAAAAACTTTGCCAAATTATTCGGTATGGTTTGGTTTTGGTTTTGGTTTGGCTTCAATTAAGCTTTTTAGTTAGTTGATGGTTCTGCCTGGTTTGATTTTGTTTAGTTTGAGTCTGTTTAGTTCGGCACTTCATTTTAAACATGAAGATTATGTTAAGCGCATATTTGAACGTAGATGTAATAAAGAGTAAGGTGAGTGGTGTGGAATGGTCATTTTAGTTTTGCTTGGAAAAATGGTTTGATTGGATTGGTTTAGTTTCTTAGGCCTACCTTTGTCACTTGGTCTCGCAGTTCTAGGATCTGTGATTGTGGTGGAGTCACTCGTGGTATTCTCTCTCGCTACTCTGCTTCTGTTCTTCACTTGCAAATGCGCATTTCTTCTCGTACACGAGAGAAGAAGCGAACATTCTGTCGACAAGAATTCGCAGAAACCAACGGTAACTAAAAACTCATCTCTCAATGTATATTCTTACAGCCATTTGTATCCAAGCATAAAAGAGGTTACTCTCTCTTCTGGAGCAGGACAATGCCAAATATTTAAACTGCAATGTTTCAACAACAACAATCACTGGTTGTCTCCCAGAGAGTATCTGGCATCGCCATACGCAGCAGAGGTATGTTTTGGGGGAAAGTGGTTTAGTTGTATAGATAGTATCCATTCTTGGAAATGTAATGTGTTTTGTGTATTTGTTTGCTGGTATAGACACATAGGTGAAACTTCCGGCAACCAGAATAAGCAGTCGTCGCCAGCGATTAACATTTTTCCGTTTGAGCTAGAGAAGGCTAGAAGTTGATGAATCTAAGCCATCAGGATTACATACAATCAACCAATCTCCGGAAGAATCTCATGAAAGGCAGTGATAGCTTAGGCACAGATGCTTTTTGGTCATGCTTCTGTTGTAAATGCTCTCATTGATTCTATAATTACCATTTTGGTTAGCTACGAAATTTAATACCAGATAAGATAAGCAACAAGTTGATTAAAGATATTTCCTTTTTTGTTCCGAGTAGATTTATGAAAAGAAATGATTTTGGACTTGAAACTACAAATACAAAACATGAAACCAGAACTTAAATGTTCTCATTAAACCAAACTGAAGCAGAGAACCAGTTTGAGTTCGATCAATTTCCTTCATACATATATGGAAAACTGATCGAGGTCAAACCAAGCACTTCATTCATTACATCAATAAGACATATCTCTAACCAAATTCTACAGAACCAAAACATACATACAAATAAAGAAGTAATTAGAAGTTAATTTGAAAGAAGATGCAGAGAGATTATCTTCAAATTGCTGCAATAGTGTTTGTAAAGTCGTGGATAAAATCAGAGAATCGTAGATCATCTCCATCCAAACATCTCTGAAACACCAAATCTGAATCTTCAAGGCCCTCAAAATCATCAACAGAGACATGATCATCAACAACAGCTTCAGAATTGGTCAAAAGAGTTGCAGTAGTAGTCTCCTGAAGTTCCTGATGAGTGTTGTCCGAAAACCAATCATCTAGCGAGCTTTCAAAATTAGTCTCGAAATCAATGAGTTGATCAATATCCATCTCCAGATCATAATCCAAGTTTCCTTCAGGTAAAGCATTGTTGTTGTTGTTATCCATGTCTTGATCATAATCCAAGTTTACTTCAGTTAAAGCATTGTTGTTGTTGTTGTCCGTAACACAAAAACTTTCACAAATCGAGAGAATCTGATCATGTTCTTCAGTGATCTCGTTGAAATTTGCAGGTGATTCATCAGGGACGCAACAAATTGCAGAAGTACTGGACTGAAGCTGATTTAGGGTTTGATGATCTGGCTCTTGACTGATCTCATTGAAATTTTCAGGTGAATCATCAGGAATGCAACAAATTGCCGAAGTGCACTGAAGATCTAGGGTTTGATCATGAGTTCCGTGGTCTGAAACAATTATTCTCTTCACGTTGTTCTTCAGGTCCTCATGATCATTAACGAAAGCTTGGTTACTGACTAAAGCTTCCTCCGCACGCAATTCCTTGAGATTACTCAACAACGTCCACATGGAATCGATAGCGTCACTAAGCTCTTGAGGATTCTCCGATCTGGCAAGGCTCTCGTTATTCCACCAAAACCCTAACCCTAGATTCTTTCGAGTCAGGCAAATACCAACGTCCTCCCTCGTCTCTTTGTCATCATCCGGAACAGGAACAGGACGTTGTCCAGAGAGAAAAGCAGAGACAACGGCATCAACAGAGGAGTGACCGAAAGAGTAGAAGGAGACGTTGGATTCAGAAGAAGAAGGAGTCGCTAGGATAGCGATTTGTGCACCGGAGAGAAGACAAAGCTGAGAGGCTTTGCTAAAGAGACCTTCACGGCGTTTAGTGCAAATTGGCATGAGAGAAGTCTTCTTCGTAATCTTCTTGATCTCAATCTTCCTCCTCGTGCCTCCTTTTTTCACCATTCTGATTTTTCTCAAGTTTCACCACAGCGAGACTTAGAGAGGGAGAGAGTAGTGTTTTTTTTTTTGTTTTCTGCGTGTGGAGAAAAATAAGTGACAAGTCTCTCATATAAATAAGGAAACATATTATCCTCCTAAACCGACTGTGTATCAGTATCACAGCAAACTGCAAACCTATGTCGTTTTAAAACCAATTTGATTTCAATCCCTAACGGTTCACATAACTTGCTAAACCGAGTAAACCATCGAACATATTATTGTATGGGCTTAAGCCCAACTATCCACCAGAATCCTCCCCCTTTCTTTTTCTCTTATAAATAAATTAAAAATGTTCTAGAATCAAGAGTTGGAATTTTCCAGAGGAATATATTTAAGAGGGAAACACCAATTACAAATGCAATTAAAGCTCCAACAAGTTACCATGGAATTATACATCGGAGTCTCTATGACCAACATAACTATGATAGGACTATTAGGAAACATGATTTAGCTCTCAGCAATATGAATGAAAAAAAAACTAGAAAAGTTCAGATATTATTTTAGGACAAAACATACATGGCCATGATAATATATGGCAGCTCAATATATATTTGAGCTACAAAAGGTAATATTCAAATTGAATATGGTCTCAACTTAAGAAAAAAAAGGTTATTGGAAAAAAAAGGTTATTGGAACGTCCTATTGTTTATATGGTCTTCTAAAACTTTGAACATGTAGTTTCTGTGCTTACTATCACATAAGACCACCATTAAGAGTGGACTCTTAAAGAGTTCTTAACAAAATCTTAGATCAAAAATTAATGACAAAGCATGTAAAATACTAAGAAAGGTGCCTTAGTTAAGAGCCATTATTCCTAAGAGGCATTATTAAGAAACCCTTGATAATCATGCCCTAAGGTCCAACAACAAGACCTGGTTAACAAAAAGAGATTATCGAGCTTCTCATAATACACGTCAATGAATAGATTTTTATCACAATGGGATAGTTAGATAGTAAAAATTCCAATATCACAAAGAGTCAAAACAACTATGGAGACAAGCAAAATGTTTTAACATGATTTATCATCATACGCAAATACTCTTTACCAAGAAAGAAGAAGAAAAAATGTAACGAAACTAAAGAGAAGAGAAAACAAGAGCACATCAAAATAGAGATTGAATGATTCAAGTCCAAATCGAATGTTTGAACAAGATTGGCTTAAAGAACCACAACCTCCCTTTGCTCATGTACCCACAATTGCATCAAAGTAACAATGTTTTATTCTGGAAAAGTCTACTTTTTTACGACATTCAAACACAATAACGACAAAATCTAGAGATAATGATATGCAATGTATGTAATTAAACAATTCAATCTACTCTCTGAAAGTAAAGGATAAATGTATTAGTAATCAAGTAACCAGTAACCACTGATAAGTTTAGGATTTTCGATATACAATATTTAGTCGTGATCTTATCCTTCCAAAGATAGATTGAGTAAATACAAATTCAAAGCAACCTAAAGAAGGGATTTTATCAAAAAAATAAATAAGAGACTGCATCTTGAAATAAAACTGGAAGTGGTAAAGGAGTTAAGAGAAATGTTGATTATATTCTTTTAAAATTTAATTTAAAGATCTTTTTTTTTTGAAAATTGTGTTACGAATAATATTTTCTTGTCAAGGTTCGAGTTAAAGTATATGTAAATTATAATTTATTAATGACCTGGAAAATAATATTCGTATCAACTAAGGAAACGAGGAGAATCCGAGCATCTTCTTTGGACCAATGATTTGATGATTTCACCTACTCACTTTTGCTCTCTCTTTAGATTTAAAAACACCTAAAGAGGTACAAAATATTCTCAAGCATAGTTTGCGCTATAAGACAAGTCTCGAATGTATGTTTTTGGAATTTTTTTTTATGATTTTAGGTACAAGAGAAAGTCCTTTGAATTCATTAGAGCGCTAAAAATCTTCGATATGTAAACGAATAATTTCCAAGTAATGCTTTTCATAGTGATATTTCTTTGACATGTATCCATGAAAAAAATAACTCCATGACACCACAATTAAACCTCAATAAATTAGTATTATTGAACATTGATATTTTTTATTTTATCTATATATTAATTGAAATATAAAATAATATATATTTTTATTTACAGAAATGTTTGTTTCAAAATTTGAAACATTATAAAATTTTAGCGTGAGATCTTAGAAAGATACATGTGAGACAATTTGATCCATATATACAAGATTATATGCTAATTTTACAGTATTGACTTGTTAAATAAAATGTTAATAAAGACATTGAATCTGATTTGTTGAATATCTTAGAGTACTTTATTAAGAACATTATTTTTACTCTCGATTTTTCTTTCTATTCACCAATCAAAGACAAAAAAAAAAAAACAATAGTTTATCTAGATATATGCATCCATAATGCATATATAATCCATAATGCATCTATTGGGCAAAAGCAAACACCCGGAATGCCAGCGTTTCTGACTGTTTTTCTCTGTAGAACCCAACCTTTATGAATATGTAATCTATAATGATATCAAAATCATCATCAAATGCATAGAGCCCAGTGACGATTCTGACATTGAATGATAGGGGTCCACTTCTCATTCTCGATTCACGGTTTGTCTCGAACCATGTTTTCTAGGAGATTAACCACTGGTTCTGGAGGATTAACCACATGATCCATGAGGAAGATGTAGGTCTCTATTCTAGAAAATTTAAGGAAAAAATATTATAACTCTATAATTCAATTTTTTCCTCTATTCTATTTTAGAGGTTTTACAAATCACATCCCATAACAAATTTTTGTCGGTAGTGCAACATTTGTCCAGATGTAATATCAAAACAAATCTAGACAAATTTAGTGGTGAAAATAACATTCACAAATTGAAGTAAAGATTAATAGTCTAAATTTTCACCAAAATTGATTTCAATATTAAAAATATATATTAATATGACCATGATGTTGTCTTTAGCGTTCAAAGTTTATAGTACTTTTCACTATTTTAATATTTTTAATAGTAATGATAAAGTGGAAGATGATATTAGTCTGAAAAATAATATAAATTTTTTGATGAAGTCTTTTCTAGAGATGAGTTCCATTGAAAAGCTAAATTTAAGAAAAATTACAAAAAGGTCGGCACCAAAATCGGAATCAAAATCATTTTTGGGATATCATGCGACTTGAGAGACCACTTGAATGCTCACACCATGGCTTTATCATGGGTGAGATTGTCCTCGTCTTGGATCTAGAAAAATGAGACTTATCACACAAGCTCTAACTCGCCTTGAAATATGTTGGGTAGGTAAAACTCACGGCGTTTGGTGCATATAGGCATGAACGAGGTCTTTTTAATGATTTTGTTAATCTCAATCTTTCTCTTTGTTCCTTTGTTCACCGTTATTGTTTCTCAATTATACAGACTATACAGATTTTGAGAGACAGAATTGTGTAATTTGCGTGTGGAGAGAAACAAGTCACGGCCACTCTTTAGTATATATAGAATTTAGATTGCTATGATGTTGTATTTCATTACCAAAAAGGAAATAGGTTTCCAATTAAACCAATTTTGATAATGTAAACGGTAAACCTAATCTCACATCAAAACCGTTATTGGTTTAATTTAACCCAATTATGTATATAGTTTCCGGATTAAAGCCGAAATTTAACTTCAAATTCTTCCGTTTTACTAAACCGAATTAAACCATTCATGAGTGAGTCGGTCCACAGTCCAAAGTGAGTCTGATTATTTAATAGAAATGGGCTAAAGCCCACACATTTGCTCAAGCCTTGTCAATGTGAACCCTAAATGACCTTCTTCGTCGACCGACCTTTCATTTGGCGCCAAAATCCGCAGTCACTTGTTTCTATTTCCCGCTCCTCTACCAATTTGATCTGATCGGAATCTTTCGGGGAAGCGGATCTAATGGCGTCGAATTCGGAAGCGGGAGGTTCGGCGGAGTACGAAACATTGATGTCGATATCGGACGTAGAGTTATTGAAGAGGGCGTGGCGTAACGAGAAGGCGGCGCCGGAGATTCTTCAGTACGAAGGAGCTCTTGTGGATAGAGCCAAAGAACAGATCGAATTGGTGGTAAAATTTCCTAGCTTGTCAAACCCTAATTTTTTTTCTGGGTTTTCCAGAAAATCGAATTCCTTATTTAACTTTGTTCAGTGTTATGTTAGAGTTAGAGTTATTGTCTTGTCGCTTCCATTTTCAGTAATTGAAATGTTTTGTAATAAACAGGAAGAAACAATTGACGATTATGTGGAAAATGGCATAGACCCTCTGGTGGTGTCTCTTTATCAGATGGATTTGGACAGAGCCCAGTTTCTACTCAGATCCTATCTCAGGGTTAGGCTTCTCAAGGTGTGTGCTGTTTTTTCTACTCAATCTCTATTGCTACGAGTTTCAGATTAGCTGTGTGAGTTTATCAACGTTGATTCTAAGTGTCAAATGACCCTGCTTTTATGTCGTCTCCGATGGTGTTCTTTTGATTGTTGCAGATAGAAAAGTTTCTGTTTCACAACCTCAAGTCAGAAGAAGCTGAAAGGCGACTTTCTGAGCAAGAGAAGGTCTTTGCTACAAGGTTTGTTTACTTACTTGATTTTGAAACTATGTAAATGGCTGCTGTTGTGAGACATATTTTTGAATGATTACAATTTACAGGTGTGCTGATGATTTAGCAAAGCATTTCGAAGAGACTGTACTGCTTAAGTTGCCTGAGAATTATCAGTCTGTCCTCAAGCAATCCCTTATAAGTGAAGTGGATGATATGGGTACCTCCCTAAACCTAATCACTACCATAATCTAAGTTGGTTAAGCTTGTTTGTTATTATAGTTGAACAATCCCTTCACAGTAGCTAGAGTTGTGTGTGTTACTGATGACTATAATTGTGATCTTACAGTGCCGCAGCCGCATTTGGATACCTTTGTTGTTTGTAGAAGCAAGAACTTTGTCTCCCTCAATCTATACGAAGAGTGAGAATTCTCTTATTCCTCCGTACACATATATAGACAAAACCTTTCTGTAATCTAAGTGTGGGTTACCTATACTTTGGCAGAGGAGAGAGCCCTGAGACTGTGGAGATGGAGCGAGGTGATCTCTACTTCATACGTTACAAGATTGTTAAAGGAGCAATCGAATCAGGCCAAATTGACTTGATCTGAGCTATCAAAACCAAGATATGACTATGGGTTTTCACTCAAATAACATAGCATAAGTTTTGGATGGTGCTACCTTTGTTCAATGTTTATGATCTTGAGTTGTATAGTGAATTTTTATATTGTATGAGTTTCCTAATGTCTTGATAGCTTTAGTTACCATGTGGCTCATTTCTGTGTTTTTTTTTGGTCAACGTTTTTCTTAGAATGTTTAAAGTGATTTTAGTCCCAAATTGTACAATCTTTCTAAGAATCAAAGAACCATCTTTTGCATCTACACCCAATTTGCTACCTTTCAAATGTAATTTCTACACCAACTTCTACTTCATAAGCAATAAATAAATACTAATGGATAGAGGAGTACTGTATTAAGAGAATAAAAAGGATATTGCTATAAATCGTTAATCTAAATCTTTTGAGAGTATATATACATAGTTAACTCACAAAATTGCCATTAAATAAATGCATCGCGATAAAATTTTAGTTCTGGAAAGAAAATATTTATAAACCGTAAACGGTAAACCTTATAAGCTTTCTAAATCGTAAACCTTTAACCTTACGCCTGATAAAAATAACGGCGTTTTACCAATTTAAGATATATTTTTATATATCTATATTTAATTAACTCATTAGATAAATCATAAATACATCATTCTAAAATGTTAGTTTCGGAAAGATAAATATATATTTTTGACAAAAAAATATTGTTAGAAACCGTAAACCTTATGGCTTTCTAAACCGTAAACCTTATTGCATTTTAAAAATTTGAGATTTTTTCTTTTATTTATGTGTTAGATAAACGTTTCGTAGTAAAATATTAGTTTTGACTCACCAAAAAAAAATTTTATATATATATATATATATATTAGTTTTCGAAATGAAAACATTATTTTAATTGTTATAGAGAAAAAACATAAAAGTATTATCAGAGAATACAGTATTGTCTGATAGTTAAAATTAAACACTCACATTTTCCTTCACTTTTCATCTAAAAATCTTCATTTGTAGTAAAAATATCAACTTTGTAGTCAAACAAAAATCTTAAACAAAATATCAAACTCGTATCATCCCATTCAATACTTTGACTGACGGAAAAGCATAAACGCCGTCTAATATCATCTTAGATAGAAACAAATCAGTAAAAAAAGATTAAAATTAGGATTTAAATGGAATATTCCCTAAAAGATAAATCATAAAAGTCATTTATGGTATCACTAAAAATGTTGAAAATATTCAGGCGCGGCTTTTTTTCTTATTTTGTTTTCATTTAAAAAAAAAGTTTTAGCGCCGTTTATTGCCGCGCGTCGTTTCGCTCGTCTCTCTCCTTTTATTATTACTCTCTCTCACTCTTCCTCTCTAATCACACATCACTACTGCTTTTCTTCAACCTCTCTCTCTCAGAGACCGATTAGGGTTTTCGATTCCTCCAGAAGATTTCGTTTCTCAACGTAAGTTTTCCTCTGTCAATTTTCCTAGAATCTGTGTCGATTTCGAACTACAGTGATTGTTAAAACCCTAGATTCGGAAAATTTCCTGGGTTTTTTTATTGTTTGCGTCGATTTAGTCAATGTGATGTAGAAAACGCTTCGATTACGTAGATTCTTGTGAGAATTATAGTCCAATTGCGTTGTAGTGATGATTTTGTTGGTAATTTTTATTTGAAATTAGGGTTTTTGAAAATGGTGGAAAATGGGACGAAAGCTGGGAAGGGGAAGAAGAGAGCACTTCCGGAGATTCAAGAGCCAGATGATGTCTCGAGGAAGAGGAGACCAAGGCGAGCTGCAGCGTGTACGAATTTCAAGGAGAAATCTGTTCGAGTCTGTGAGAAATCTGCTACTATTGAAGTAAAGAAACAACAGATTGTGGAGGAAGAGATTCTCGCGTTACGGTTAACGGCTCTGGACACTGATGTTGAAGCTCGTCCAACCAGGAGGCTGAATGATTTCGTTTTGTTTGATTCGGATGGAGGTATACAGCCTGTGGAGATGTTGGAGATTAATGACATATTTGTTTCGGGTGCTATCTTACCTTCAGATGTGTGTACTGATAAGGAGAAAGAGAAGGGTGTGAGGTGTCCATCTTTTGGACGGGTGGAGAATTGGAGTATATCTGGTTATGAAGATGGTTCCCCGGTGATTTGGATTTCTACGGAGTTGGCAGATTACGATTGTTGTAAACCTGCTGCTAGCTACAGGAAGGTTTATGATTACTTCTATCAGAAAGCGCGTGCTTCAGTGGCTGTGTATAAGATATTGTCAAAGTCTTCAGGTGGTGATCCTAATACGAGTCTTGATGAGTTGCTTGCGGCGGTTGTCAGATCAATGGGCAGAAACAAGTACTTTTCTAGTGGTGCGGCAATCCAAGACTTTGTTTTATCTCAGGGAGATTTTATATATAACCAACTCGCTGGTTTGGATGAGACAGCCATGAAACATGAAACAAGCTATGTTGAGATTCCTGTTCTTGTAGCTCTCAGAGAGAAGAGTGGTAAAATTGACATGGCTTTGCAGATGGAAGGAAAACCATCTAATGGGGTTCTGAGGATTGATGGAGTTTCTGAGGTTGCAGAGAGCGAGGCCATGATATCTGATCAACTGGTTGATGGTGCTGATGAGGACAGAAGATATGCTAAAGTGTTACAAGATGAAGAGTACAGGAAATCCATGCAGCGGTCCAGAAAAAACACTAGCTCAGCTTCTGCTTCAAATAAGTTCTACATTAAGATAAATGAAGATGAGATTGCCAGTGATTATCCTCTCCCATCGTACTATAAGAACTCCAAGGAAGAAACAGATGAACTTATACTTTATGATGCTTCCTATGAGGTTTATGCTGAAGACCTGCCTCGAAGGATGCTTCACAACTGGGCTCTTTACAACTCTGATTCACGGTTCATATCTCTGGAACTTCTACCGATGAAACATTGTGATGATATTGATGTCACCATTTTTGGGTCAGGTGTGGTGACTGATGATGATGGAAGTTGGACTTCTTTAGACGATCCTGACAGCGGTTCCCAGTCACACGATCCTGATGGGATGAGCATATTCCTCAGTCAAATAAAGGAATGGGTGATTGAGTTTGGGGGGGATGATATTATCGCCATTTCTATACGAACTGATGTGGCCTGGTAAGCTTACTATCCTAGTATTTTGTACTCCCATGTTTCTACATCTTTTTTTCTTCTGTTACTTATGTATAAGGTATATACAGGTACCGACTTGGGAAACCGTCAAAACTTTATGCCCCCTGGTATAAACCTGTTCTGAAAACAGCAAGGGTTGGGATAAGCATTCTTGCTTTGCTCA